TCGGAAGGCATGCATTCAGCCCAGCGTAATATCATCCTCTACTAATTAAGAGGTCTCAGGGCACTGCACCTGTCTTGTAGTTAAATTATTAACAATAAATTCTCTCCTACAGGATGGAGAGGTACCTTTCTTTTGAGTGGCTTTCCAGTTGTAAAAAGTGAGCTCCTATATGCCCTGTTTACCTCTGGGCCTAGAACATGAATTATACGAGACTTTCCAGCCGGTATAAGTAGTCAGCAAGTGCAGCTGAGTATATTTATTTCGAAGATAACAGGGCAAATGGGAGTGAGTATAGACCGAAGGCCAGTTCACACATACACGAGACGGACAAATCCTTAAATGACAGCCGAGCCTCAGCTAGTCACATGCAAAAAGCATTACAGGGGAAGTGGGAATTGCTCATTGATTCTTCTTATAACTAGGTTGTACACTTTAATCTTATCTCTACTTCTTAGGCTTAGTAAAAGCTTCGTCAAATCATCTGCCTTCTGAGAAACTGAGATGACGAGCCTGGATAGTAAGAGTGAAGGTACTGCAGTAAATACTACAAGTATGTGAGCATATTTGTGGTTCTCTAATTTGATATTTATCTTAGTCTTGTACACAAAAACTTTATTTGGGCCGACTTTCACTTGACCTAACTAAATGCCTTCATACAAGTAATAAGAAACATCAGGATCTACATTTTCACTACCACCTGAGGCGTCGTTCCATTATAGACTGTTAACAGGTTCCATTAATCGTTGATCATTTACCTAATAATAGAAAACTTTATTAATAAAGTGCTTAAATTTGTCGACTATTATTATATTAGACGGTACCTAAATAGTGTAATAATTGGGTCAATTATCTTGCATTTTTAAGAATCCATGGGTTTCTTTTTATTGTTCAAATGTTCCGAATGGAGTTTGCGGTCTGTGCCAGGTGTACGCGCCGTCTTCTGAATTCAGTGATGTGTTGTAGCTTTATCCTCCTTGTTTTGTTTGTGTCTTTTCCATCATTAGATGTATTCACAGGGGCTATTCAGAAGAAATGTCAAGGTGATAAAAGTTTTGCTTCTCTATTTCTTACTTCTAGTCTGCATTGAAGTAATGGATAAGTTGCAGAAGGCTGTTGATGAAAATAGGGGTTCTGATGTTGTTAAGGTAATTGATGAAACCTGCTCTACTCTCACCGGAAAACAAAGGAAGATTGTAAGTGAACTTGTTGCATTTGCAATTGTAGTGTTCCAATATCGGTGCCCTACCCAATTCTCCAACGCGAGTCGTGAATGAGGTTGCTCGTCAATTGAACATTTCGGTTCCGGCAGAAAAGATATGTCAAAAGTTGGCTAAGAATGACCCGCAAGTCTGCGAAATCATGCACCGTATATTCCTTAGATGGTTTATTCCACTTTCTAGAATTTATCCCTAGTCACGATGCGGATTTTAAGAAAATGAACGTTAAGGAATTAAAACAGACACTCGCATTTATCGGTGTGGAATGCGCTGGGTGCTTGGATAAAAGCGATTATATCGAAATGGCAGAAAAAAACCGAGACAAGATACCGCGTTCCGACTTGTAAATTTGTAAATGCCTTCTTTGACGACTTAATATATTGCATAGGACATTATTTATTTCAGCCTACTTGAATGGTACTGTCCCTATTTTTTTTCATTGGGTGACCCCTTACCACGGACAGGATTTGAGCGCTGCAGATTGATATTTCCCCTATTATGCATGTGGGTTCTCGATGGACGGGAAGGAGCGTATCCTTTTATGGGACCACGAAGGCTCTAAGTGGAGATTATTCCCCATGGTGGGTCTTACTCAAGACACCGGATTTGACGGATTTCGCGGCCTCCATTTTGCTACCCGATTAGGCGTTTCGTGTAGTTAAGTTTGTCTGCACGCACTCTGCCTCCCAGTTGCAGGCCATGTGGCTGTCAACGCGGTGGCGACTCTTTAGTTGCCGCGTGGTGAAACCCACGATTCGGGGTGTGTAGTACCAGCTGTTGCTTTGCATCGCTTGTTATTACACCTTTAGATAACATCGTAAGCTCTAGGCTTCGGTAGTGCTGCACAGACCCGCTCAATGAGATTAGTGTCCGGTCTCATTAATGCGATGCTTGGGGATGACAAGCACTAACTAGTAATCCTCCCTATTGAAGTACTAAGTGAAGTTTCTATTGAGCAGGTTACTCATTTTAGCGGTAGCGAGGTTAAGGAGTGGTGTTTCGGATAACTCGATAAATCTTAAAATAGCAAAACCAAGTATTTAAGCGCCAAACCCATTTACTTTGAACAAATTAAATTTTACAAAGCGTGTAAATTCTTAAGATAAAATAACTATAATTTTGCACTGTACTTTAACTTTATTTAGCATCCCCTTTTGTTTACATACATTGAAGATAGAAGGCGTCACTACGACGTTAGAGATCTGTGTTTTATTCGTTTGGAGTCTGTTTTGTGCTGTTAAACGGTTTTTGGTCTACCGCAGTTAATTCGTTCACGCTATTTAATCACATTATATGTTCGCAGAGGAAACACGGTGCCTTTATCTTTTCAGCCCATACATATGGCATGTGGCCTTGCTTAGTGTAATATAAGTGCCTTTTCATCTGGCCAGGTGCTGCTTGTCAATCTCCATCACCTATAAGATGAATGGTGTGGCTTGCCGCTGGTCAAATTGCAATCAGATTTTGCCAGATATACTTCAGCTTGAAGCTCATCTTGTCTCCACGCACGTCCCTAAGACCACAAGCAATGGTTACCTCCGAGGCTCAGATTATTCTTGTGGTTGGCCTAACTGTACATACCCCATTAGTACCTGCTGCTCCGTCCTTTTGGCTACCTTCATCCGTCATGTTAAATTTCACGCCTTCGTTGAATACCTCATTCAACGGAACCGTTTTCTGCTCCCTGCACCCATCTCTTGCATACAGAAAAGTGATTCACACTGTGAGCATCTACCATCTGATTACGAGTGTGGCTGTGGTTTTACGACAGACTCATTTCTTACTCTCTTCGATCATCTTCGTACCTGTCAACAGGAAAATTGTGCTAAGATGGAGGATTTCAAGGCCTTTGTTTGCCCCGAATGTCTTAAAACATTTGAGACCTTTGATGACTTGTTAGCTCAAGCTGTAAGTGATCCTGAAAAAGGCAACGCGATCGCATTCCGTTCGGGTTTCTTCTGTATGTGGATTGGCTGTACGAGCAGCAATAATGGGTTTTTATCGCTTAGGGAACTTCTAGAACACATGGAAGACCATATCACTTCCTCGTCAATGTGCCTCTGGATGGGTTGCTCTGTCTTGAAGAACTTTAGTCGACCTCACCTCCTTCTTCATGCCTACTCTAATGTTTGTCGAAACAATGCCTTAGAAGTCTTTAAGAAGCAACCTGACTTGATTCTAAGGTGTATGTCTAAGAGGGAGGACGCGGCTGCATCCCGTGGATGCCACGATGCCAAGTCAAAATGGTTCCTTGAGCGTCTTCGGTCCTCTGATTATGATGGACTTTATTGCATGTGGAGCAAGTGTCAGCTCAAGTGAGTCTTTTTAAGCTATCAACGTGGCGTTGGACACTTTTTTTGCTGATCTCTTAACATAGATATGAGAATCCAGGCGAGTTCCTCGAACACGTATTGAGCCATGTAGGAGCAGAGGAGGGTAGGAGCAAGTGTCTGTGGTTCAATGAGGCTCATCGCGGTGTTGGTGGGCTCTGTGCCGTCGAACTCGCGAAAGGCCTTCGTGCCCATGTTCGTGAGTCGCACACGGTTCCGCGTTTTCTCTGTCCCTTTTGTCTTGTTGCAACGTACAACAGAAAGTGTGAACTCTTTTCTCATGTCTGTAAGTATTAACCTATTTCAATACAGAAATGACTTGAAATGAATCTGATTTTTAAGACGGTTGTTACTCGTCTTATCGCGTTTAATTCTAACGCATTTGAACCAGCGACGCGCTGCATAACGAAACGCAAGTCCACAGTGGGGTACAAACGAAATTTGAAGGGGATCAGATTGCCTTCGGGTCCTCTCCCTCTTCTTCCTAAGCCGGATCAGTCTTCTCAACAGAGTGAATATCTTAATGAGCTATCCGATTCTTTTCCCAGTTTTTTCCTTGAAATATGCTTATTTTGCCATGGTGTTTCTAATTATAGGCATCTCATGGCCAAGAGGGGCGAACTCATGCCGACAAATGTAACAGTTCACTTTTAAGTATCATTTTTTTGTTAAATAAATATTGCCTTGCAACTTGTTTTCTTTAACAAGCATGCTGCGTTACCATTCATGAGGAGACTTGTGTTATAGCTAAGGTCTGTGTGTTCAGCGTGACTGTTAAGAATGAGTTGTAGGTTTGTAACCACTTTCGCAGGATTTTGCAATTAGATCTCGATGGTATTTTCAGACGTCTGCGCCAGATATCGAAGAGATAATCGGTGATTCGGATGAGGAGAATGCACACCTGCTGGGGTCGTCGGTGCGACCATCCCAAACCAGTGAATGTGTCACATTGCCACAGCTCATCAAGCGCTTCCGTAGGGTAGTCTCCCCAGTAAACCATTGTCTAGTGTCCTAAATACATTGTAAATTCCTGCTTTTGCGGTTTACAGATTTGGCAGAATGAGAAGATTGCGCCGGAGTTGATGCCAACTCAAAGAGACACTGTGGCCTTGATTAGCAAGGAGATGACGAATTTTGAGAACCAAGCTAAAGAGATGCCCAAAGGTGACAT